ATCCAACCCGGCAATCAGAAATTTAAACTTATGATAACATCAGTTCAAGTGATTCTGGGACCTGATCGACTCCAAAAGAATGAAAGACATGGTTCCACACGGCAGAAGGTCCGGGATCAGTCTACAGATCACTTAGAAATTTGACATCGCTGCCACCCCACATTTGTACAGGTCGTAGGAGTGAACTAGGGTGATTAACGGTGAAAGGAACTCCTCGACAATAGCTCTGGAAAGTGCCCAAAGCGAATGTCCGCGTGTGAGAGCGTAACAGAACAAGCGAAAATCCTCGACCAATTTTCTTCCTGGAGTGAAGTAGGATAAAGGTATTTCCTCCCCCCGACAAGGAGTTGAATTATGGTGCTTTCATACTAGTCCAAAGTGCTCCTGGAAGGGAAGTAGAGCACTAACCAAAGGCCCTGCTTACTATGCCATGTCCTCATTCCGGATCGCACTTGCCGCAATCCACCTACTTTTATTCTCTCTGAGTTGAGGTGATCGGTAAATGACTATCCGCAAATCGGAGTGCCTCTTTCATGCCAACCTGCAGGCAAAATTGCATTATAATGCAAGAAAGTTTCTGGAAAGATCCTGAAGGGAAGCAGAGTGCATGGCGCATCAAAAATGGTGACCATACAACATGCTGAAAAGTATCTTTTCCAAAGTGATTCGAACCATAACTAACCTTATAGAAAATTGTGGGTGGTAGCATGATAAACGTGAGGCGGCGTTGGTGGGGGAGCGAGCGCGAGCGACTGTGTCGACTACGCCGACGGGAGTGATTGTAGTTGAGTGTTTTTGAATAAACGAACGTCTCGCCCGAATGAGACAAAGCAATTTTCGATCATGACAAGGCGAATGTACGCTGCAAGTGGGGAAAAACCCGAGCGTTCCCAAGGAAACTGGGGTACGCCACCGGTTTGATCAGCCGTCGCTCGGGTCGCGCTGCGCCATGGTCCCCGGACAAAAAGCCAACTGACACAGGATATCAGCCAGTGGAACTTGACTGCGCTCCATACCTTTCCCTTTGCCTGGTTACCGAGTGGATAAGGGCAGTGAAAACGAAATAACCAATGCGCTTCATCAGACATTTGGGTATGCGCCATGCATGTGAGTTCTTGGCTTAGTTGCTTGCCTATCTAGTGTATACGTGGAAGTTGACTCATTTTACAGAGAGGTATGGTGCCGGTAGGAAAACCAAGTGAGGATGGCCGCGTGTGAAGTCGTTCCGCGGACCATTTAAGTGATGACAGCGCTTTTCTTCGTCAATATGCCCCACCATTCAATTGGTCCGGAAATTAATGCCGGTTTCAATGTCTCATACTTTATTTGATATTTTTCCGAGAAATTTCCATACGATTGCTGTACTATTGCATATCGTTGGAAAGCCCATTTCATTCTCTTTCTTGCACGGCCATTGTATTTTGATGGGACTCGGGCCTCACTTTTTTCAAAGGTTTGAAGTGAAGGCGTCAAAGTAGTGGTTTGAGCAGCAAGTTCACTTCTATGAGTTGAAATTTGGAGAGAGGTGCTGTGCGGCTCGGAATAGGATTGCTGTGTGGGCTAAGGATGTTGCAATAAAAGCACACTGCTTCGATGGCTCCGAAGCTTTCAAGTTAGGGAAATCTAGATTCGAAGTGAGGGGGGTTACGGACGACATTCTCCTCTTGACGGCGGCCTTCTGAAGACCCGGCAGAAGAAGATTTCCAAACAAGTGTACGGCAGCCAGCAGCATAACCTTGAGCAAGCAATACTGAAATTTTCGGAGCGCCTGAAGGTAACTCTGGGAAAGGAAGAAAGCTGTGACAAAGTGGGTACAACATGAACTCTGACTGAGCAGCAAGCACATCTCACAGCTTGCAAGGAATCTTGGCACCCACTTCTTTTTAACCCATTCGCGACCGCGCAGGATTGCGCAATAGCAGCAGCGTCAGGAGATTTTTCTTCAATAAAATCCGAGTGGAAGGGAGATTTCCTCTGCCCAGGGCTGGCGTAGATGAGCGAGGGTATGAAGATTCTTTTCATGGAAGAAAACTTTCCAAATTCCATTTCAAGCCCTGCAGCCACAGTAATACCATTGTCCCGAGTGAGAGCTTTGTCAGTCCACATCACCGTGCGACAT